TTGTAGAAAATTGTTGGTGGAACTTATTGAGAAGTAAGGAACAAGCCGAGCCCTATTTTGTACAAGGGGAACCCTTTTGGTACCAAAGGGTTGAGGTAACAGGGGAATTTATATTTTTTATTACTTTGTTTTAGCTATTTTTGAATAAATATTACTAGTTATCATGCATTACATGTTTTAAAAGATTAAATGTGCTTTATAAGGGGTTATGGGTTACTACTTTGATTATAGTGCAAATATATTTTCTAATTGTTTAATAACAATGTTTTTATGGAAATGAGATTTATAAATATTATACTACTTTAGAGTGTTGAATGGTCAATACTCAGGAAAGATAGACAAGAGTAAAAGGCATGATCTCGGTGGGAGTTCACCAATGAGAAGGTGTGGATTTTTGATATTCTATGGCACACTGTCAGTACTCAGTGTTGTCTTACGTATTGTGGGCTCAGTGCACTAAAGTGGTTAGTGTATTGAGTGTTCGACACCTCTCAGTGGGGGAGGGAATCCGACATATGAAGTGTGAGGTTGAGTGCCTAGGCCAAGGTAGCCCTCACATGGAGAGTAAGTCGGGCTGGCTCTGGGAGGGAGTTAGCTTTGACTGCTCAGGATTCACGTCGAAGGGGCATAGGAGGTTCGGTGGATTAGATCATGCCTTAGATTATATTTTATGCCTGTGGAGGTACAAGTAGGTATAAGGTTTACCTGTAAGATAAAGAGTGCCAGGGGACATTCTGTTGGTCATAAAAGGCCATACCGGCCTAGGTCATGCATTCATGCATTTTAAATGGCTAAATTATATACTATGTTGAATTTATTATTCGTTTATTTGATTATGGCTTACTTTGTAATAATCAATGTAGATTTCATTGTTACTGAGACTGTGGTTGTCTCACCCCTTTCTTTTCAATATTTTAGGTCCAGGCGAAGGATCCAGTGGTGAACGGGGAAAGGAGCAAAGCTAGGGGTTTGCTTGTGATTTGTAAAGAACTGCAACCCCTTTCTTTTGAGCAAATATATTGTAATGTATTTAAGATTAGGGTGCCAGTAGGATATGATTATGTGTGTGTGTGTGTGAATATGTGTGGATTGTGTGCTTGTGTATGAATTTTTGTCTGTTTGCAGACTTGTGGCTAGGAAACTTGGTTATGGTATGTGTTTTTAATGGATTTACTTAGTAGACCAAGTTTCTATTACAAGCAGATCTTTATTTTGATATATATGTGATTTTATAAGCAAATGCAAAGTGGTTGCATTGCAAATGGTGTGCTATGGGCAAACATAGAGCTTGGATAGAGAGAGTGGGAGCGTGGGCCCCACAAGGAGCTCTGAGCCAAGTGAAAATGTTTAGCATATGTATTTATATAAATATATGGTATTTGGATTGATTTGTGACCACTCTTGTATGATTTGTGCATTTTGGGGGTTTAGGGTCCATTTTGGGAAATGGCACCTGGGTGGTCAAATTTTGATGTATGGGGGTTTTCCATCATTTGAATGTTCTATCAGGTGTTTTTAATCTTATTTGACGTGTCCAAAGTGTTCCCACAGGTTTGTGACCATTAGGATGAGATTTGGACAATTTTGAAAATGGTTTTTACCAAAAAGCTGCACTTTTGCATCCGGGTGTCCAAATCTTAATCCGACCGTTGGATTTCTCTAAAATTTGGGTCACAAGTAAAACCTTTTATAAGCTTCGTGTAAGCTTTGGAATCACATCGATCGGATATCGGACGAAGAAACGACGCACTCCAGAATTTGGTCTGGAAGTGCTGTCATGACAGCATTAAATTGCTGTCATGACAGCTACAGTAGTTATATTGTAACCTGCACAAAATTTAATCCGTCTGTTGGATCTTTTCAAAATTTGGTATGCTAATAGTATTCTTAAAAAGTGACATGTGGGCTTTGAAATCACTCCAATCAGAGGTCGGATGATGAAATGGTGCACTCCAGAAGTTGGTCCGGAAGTGCTGTCATGACAGCTTGATTGACAGCAAAATTGACTAAATTTGTAATATGTCCAATTTTTAATCTGACCGTTGGATCTTTTTGAAATTTGGTACACTTATAGTACCCTTTGAATGTGACTTGTGAGCTTTAAAATTTCTTCGATCGGAGATCGGAAGGCGGAACGGCGCCTCCCAAAAGTTGAACTGGGAGGGCTATCATGACAGCAATTTAATGCTGTCATGACAGCATATTTTTACCCTTCTTTTGTCTAACTTGCTTCCGTGCGCTATAGGTAGAACCTATAATTTTTTTTAAGGTTTTAAATGTTTACTTTGCAATCATATAGTTACTTAGTGATTTAAATGGTTTATTTCCTAAGTTGGTTTTAGGATTAACTCCTTAACCACACTTAGTTTATTTGACTTGTGTGATTTTTGGATAACACTCGGGACAAGTGTTACATGTGTCACCTCTCATATACAAAAATCTTCCGTATATGCAAGTAATCTATCATCATATGCAATGACTTTTTTTAAATGTCCATTTTGTTATAGGTGCAAATGACACCAAGGATGTGCAATTGGTTTCCCCTTATACATAGCCATCTTCAATGGTATGCAGCCATCTTTCAATGAATGAGAATGCTTTCATGCATATGCAAAAATCTTTCATATATGCAATAGGCTTACCTCATGTGCAGAAGTCTTCCATGTATATAAGTAATCATTCATCATATGCAATGATCTTCCTTAAATGACCATTTTATTACGAGTGAAAATGACATCAAGGATATGCAATTAGTCTTCCTTTATATACAACCATCTTCAATGGAATGCAACCATCTTCTGACAAATGAGAATACTTCCATGTATTTGTAAAAGTCTTCCATATATACAACAGGCCCCTCTCATGTGCAGAAGTCTTCCATATATGCAAGTAATCAATTGTCATACGCAACTATCTTCCTTAAATGTCCATTTTATTATGGGTGCAAATGATATAAAAAATATGCAACTGGTCTTCCTTTTATATGCAGCCATCTTCAATGGAATACAACCATTTTTCGACAAACAAGAATGCTTTCATGCATATGGTAAAGGTCTTTTATTTATGTCCCTTATGTGTAGAAGTCTTCCGTATATATAAGTGATCATACATCATATGCAACTATCTTCTTTAAATGTCCATTTTGTTACGGGTGCAAATGACATCAAAGATATACAACTGATCTTCCCTTTTATGCAGCTAGTTTCAATGGAATGCAATCATTGTTCCACAGCCCATGAAATCCCACTGGTCAAACGTTTTTCTTTATTTTCAAATTTCATTTGCTAGCAATATTTCGGTCTTTTAATGTCACTACAATATTGCCATAGAAGGACATCATTTTTCAAAACTCCCAAGCATCTTTTTAGCAATTAATTTGCCCATGAAACCTTTATGGGAAAATTTCCCCGTGATTTTAATATTATGATATAAAAACATACATAGTGTTTAATGAGACTAAATTAATTGATTTCTCTTTTCATTTTATTATTTGTTCTAGATTTTTTGGTTCCTCATCTTTTATTATTATAGAGTTTTTGTTTTGTGTTGAAAACTTTATTTTTATTTTTATCATTTAAAATATAAAATAATATTTTTGATCCATTTTATTCAAAATCACCTTTAGATGTGCTCTTATTGAAAAAACACGAGTTTTATCATATTGAATTAAAATATACTTAATTTTCGTAAATCTAAACAAATCAATTTCTTGTTGCCTTTTATAATTCGTTTTAGAATTTATTTTTTAAATTATTTTTTATTTTTATAGTTATTTTTTATCATTTGATTACTTGATTTTTCATCAAAAGCGCTTTTGTAATCTTAATTATTGAAAAACTCATGTGTTTTATAGTATTACATTTATATATACTTAAGTTTTCATAAGCCTAAATGAATCAATTCCTCTTGTCATTTTATAATTTGTTCTAGACTTTGTACTAGTGTGAAAATATTCATTTTTATTTATATAATTAAAATTTTTTATTTTTCTAGTATAACAAGATTACATATTTTTTAATTAAAAAGTTAATATTTACTGTAGATGAACGTTGCCCATTTATCCAATTATTATATGTATAAGATAAGATGAAACATTTTCTTTAATTTTAACATATAATTTTTTAAAAGAAATACTTTTTACATAAACAAACATCCTAAAAATTTCGGATGTTTTTTTCTCAAAGTAATTTTTTCATAAACAAGGCCAAAACAAATAAGGTTCAAGATACTGCGACACTTTAAGGAACTTTTAAATGCATTGGAAGAAAACTTACAACCCAAACTAACAAATAAAAAATTTTAAATAATAGAAGGAAACTTAACATGTTTATATATATATATATATATATATTAACAATGTGGTTAGATTTTGAACAAAGTTTTCCTTCATGTTTTGATGAGAGTAATTAAGAGTATGATGTCTCAGCAAAAAAAAAAAAAAAAGTTATTCAGAATATGATGCAGTGAGTTACAAATATTCACAAACATATTTAGATTATTGAATCCCTTATCTAGACAAAAGGGGGAAAACTGAATAATTATTATTTGATTAGAGGAGAACAAAAAAAGAAGAGAGATTTTAATAAGTTTGATTTTAAAAAAAATGAAGAAATGAGACTAACAAATTTTAATTAATTTTTAATTTTCATAACCTTTTTATTTCACATATTGTCTTCATTAAAATTTTATATCCTCAATAATATATTTTTAAAAATTAAATTTATTAAAATCTTCACTTTATCTAACCAAACAGTGTGTTTGGGGGAGAGAGAACACATATTCCAGAAGAGATCAACTAAGTTCTGGCCTAAAAAATTAGAAGAGCACCACTTGGAAACCAAACGAAGAGAATCATATACAAGGCCCAATATAGTCTTGTCACTAAGAAAATGGCCCAATTAAAAAAAAAAACAGTGAAAAATTAGAAAATGAATGAGGCAAATAGAGATCCAGGGTATCGAACCCGTACGTCTCGCATGCTAAGCCATCACTCAACCGTCTAAGCCACATGAGCGTTCATGACTTTGGGACTCCGATTATAATTAAATTAATTTTAAAAGGAGTTGCAGAATACATTTCGCAGCAATGTTGATTACAGTGAACATAATATTCGTTCTTTTATGTTTTTGTCATTCTGTTCTTTCCTTACTTATTCAACATGTCTCTCCATCTTATTGCAAGGGAAGTGCCGATCAAACCACTTGCAGGAATTCTCAGCCACTGAAAACCTACATACTGTTTGATCAAATGGCCTCATAAACCACTTGACCAATTCATCTTTATCTTTCTTCATTCACTGGTTCCACTTGCTCTATACTTGTACCTCGAAGCCCAGAAGAGGTAAATCACAAAATTCAACCCATTTAGCACACACATAAGCCAGTAGAAACTTTCAAGATGGTGGTGATTAAGGTTGCCACCAGAAAGCCATGGTTTATGGTTGGAGCTACCTGTGACACTGTTCACTATAGAAACAATCACTGAACTAAGGTAATACCCCATAGCCAAAGAAGCCCAAGAAAGAGAAGTGGCCAAAGATCTCATCTTTGTCGGTGCTTCTGTGAAGAAAAATTCTAACAAGCCAGCCAAAGTGAAGAGATCTGCTGAACCCAGAAACAAAAACTGCAATGCAATCCAAAAGAATGTGATTGGAAGTGGTTTGGTCGTATCATTGAAAAGCCCTGATTGTGTTGCCACCCTTTTCCTTTTCACTTCAACAAGAGCAGCCACTGCCATGGAAATTGTTGAGAGGACCAACCCAACTCCAATTCTTTGAAGATGAGAAATACCCATTTCTGTTCTTGTTGCTTTTCTAGCAAAAGGAATAATAATGTGGTCATAGATAGGGGCTAGGATCATGATACAGAGAACAGGGAAAACTGGTAAGGAAGCTGGAGGAACCTTGAGGGAACCTAGTTTGGTGTTCATGGTTGCTGCTTGTTGGACTGAGAATGTTGAGAGTTGTGCAAGGCAACAATTGAGCATGATGGTGCAAGCAAATATGGGTAGCATTTTCATTACTATTTTGACATCTTCGACTTGCTTCACAGTGCATTCTAGTGATGAATGTAATGGTGTGTTTGTCACTGCGCTGTTGAGGAATTTGAGGGAATCTGATGGTGTTTCAGTTGCTATTACTACTTTTATTTCTTCTTCTTCTTCTTCTTCTCTGGTTGTGTTTGGATTTGAAGGGCTTGGAACCATGTTCACCACCGCACTGCTTGAATTTCTGTAGATGTAGCTGTTCAATGAAGCAGCAACCACAACCTGCCCATTCAAGACAAGGAAAATTGTCAAGTGAAATTTGTTTTTCTTTGGAGTGAAGAAGAGGGTCATGTAAGTAAACACATAAGAGTGAATCACTAGGGATATAAGATACAACATAAACAAATATGGACATGAAAGTTGATGCAATAGAGTCCATAGGCTCTGTAGTAAATAATTTATTATACTTGTAGTGCTGTAGAAAAGAGACAAAGTGAAAATTTTGAGTTGTGCATAAATAAAGAAGATAAGTTTTGGAATCAACAAGAGATGGATTCAATAAGAGTCTAACTCTCCCCATATACTTGGACCCTCAAAAATTAATAAAAGATGGGTTTTTATTTGTGCAATTTGAAATGTCCGTTAAGGTACTAAAAACTTGATCAACTATTAAATTGATCAAAGAATTAGTTTAAGAGTTAATAATTAAAATTATAGTTAAAACATGATTAAATTGGTTATAAACAAAGTATTTTATTAAACTGATTAAGACACTAGTTTAACTGAGCAAATTAATTCAGATGTTCATACTATGCCATTAAATTATGAACAAATGATTGGAATAGATTCTTAGCACCTAGAAGACTCTAAATCAGAAATATTAAGTGTTGAACATAGATACAGCCTCTTTAAGTTCTCATGTTTGTCATATTCATTGGATAATCATAATTAGTTTGATTAAGTCATCTTCATAATAACAATAATAAACCAAGTAAGCTTGAGAAATTAATATTCATTGTCATCATGTACCTTACAGATGGTGGTAAGTGGACTTCCAGAAGGGATCTTCATCCTGTAATAAGAAGAACCAGCCAAGAACACAGGGATGGACACAAAGATGCTAATGGTGGAGATAGCAAAACCCCATTCCCACCCTTTGTTGTCTTCAACCCAGACCACAAAAGTGACAGCAATTAGGGCTCCACAGGCTAAGCAGAAGACAAAGTAATTGAAGAAGGTTGAAGTCTGCTTCCTCCCAGATGGCGTTGACTCATCAAACTGCTCAGCACCATGTGAAGGCAATGACCCTTTGATTCCTCCAACCCCAAGAGCCACCATATAGAGCCCTGTGAATAAAATGGCTGCTTTTCCTCCTTCTACTTGTTGGCATGTTGTTGAGCTGACTGTGTAGTGATCACATTCTGGTGGCTTCAATGTTGGTGAGCGAGCTTGGATGGTCAGGATGTTCAGACCCTACATATGTAATTACATTCATAATTATCTCTATTCTCATATCTATATTACTTAAAATGGATCCTCTATGTTCTCTAGAGTCTGAAAAATGAGTTGTACACACACACACACATATCTAGAGTACGATTTGTTAGTACTTTTATATATTATGTATGCAAATAGTTATGTTTGAGGTGATAGGGTTTGATAGTTATAGTTGTGGCATGGGAAGAAATAGCAGTGAGAGAGAATAATTATGATTTATGGGGATGATCAGCTAGACAAAAAGAAAATAGTTATATATATGTTTGTGATTGTCATTAATTTTATGTTGTGTGTGTATTAAAAGTTGAACATATCTCTGCTTTAAAACTATTTACAAAGCTTAATATCTTGGAGATTCTATTTTGAACCACATTTCTTACAATAGAGCAACGTGATCATCAAAAAGAATAAGATGTGAAATATTGTTAGGATCAATGGCGGAGCTAGAACCCCAAGTTGAGGGTGCAAAATAATTTAATAAAAATTAGTTTTTTTTAAAATAATAATTATGTTAGGACTAAAATTATGATAACACAAATAATTTTATCATCATTTTTCATTTGAAAAAATATTAAACAAATTGATATGGTCTCTTATTGTAAATATGATCTTCATATCTCATCATGATCATTAAAATATTATATATTTAATAAATTTTTGAGCTTAAGTATTTTGCATTTAATTTAGAGGGTGTGAAATATGAAAAGTAGGGGTGCAAAGTTATAAATTTTATATATCTCACTTGTAATTTTTCCTAAAGTGAGAGGGTGCAAACCAATGTGGCTACGCCACTAGTTAAGATGAGTAGTATAAACTAAAACACAAGATCTCTCAACAGTCTAAGTTTAAATATTGTGAATAAGAAAAAAAAAATTGCATTGAAATAGAATTAAAATTGAAATTAGTCAGAACCATAGCAAGTGTGCATGGGGGGATGGAGGACAATAATGTCCGTTAAAATCACTTAAACTAAATTATTAACAAGTTATCAACAGTAAAGTAAATTCATTTTTTTTAACTTCATGCGTAGTGCACTGATAAAGATATGTTTATATATAATACTAAAATTTGTAACAAGTCATATTCTTCATAAATTATAAAAATATAATCCATTTCTCTATAAGTGATAGAAATTAAGGAAAATTAATAAGTTTCATAGCAAAAAACTTATTTATAAATAAGTATCATGAATTTATGAAAATATATTCAAGTCTCATGAATTTAATTATAATTAATTTACCATATAAAATGATATAAATACCCTTGGACTCACTCTTTTGACCTATATTGATTGACTATTGACATTGTTGATTGGTGGCCGGTGAGATTTGATATGTCATTGCCAATATTGACTAATCAATAAATTTTTTTTTAATTTTTTTTGATTGGTCAACACCAACCAATGGCTAGTTAATGACCCAGTGATCAATCAATGTTGATAAATGTTAGTCAAATAAATGAAAGCTTAAAACATTTATATTATTTTACATGGTACTTAACTACAACCAAATTTTATAAGATTTGAATATATTTTTATAAATTCGAGAACTTATTTATAAATAAGAATTTTATAGATGGCTTGGTTTGTAATTTGCCATATAAATTAAATGATAGGACCTGTGTACGTATTGCACAAAACCCTAGGTAACAAGTTGCACCATCGATGAATGATGAACATAGCAACTTCTTATTGTTTTTGTTTGTTTGTTTGTGTTTTGTTTTTGGATAAAAACATAGCAGCTTCTTGAATTTGTGAGCTTAGGTACGTGGGTAGTGTATAATGTATTAGAATTTTTTATTTTTTTCAAAAAAAACCCACCAGCCCCTCTCGTGGGGCATGGCATGGATCGAAGCTAATTATGCTGGTCCCAGGTGGGGGAAGACCTACTAGCTAGTCATGAAACGTCATGGTAAGAGGTTGGCTTTTTTTTTTTTTTTTTTTTTATTTTACCTCTCACCTGACCCTCTGTGACAGGAAGACACATGCACCTATACACACAAGCACATCAACACTGATTTTGAACTAAGGATCTCTTTTTTTTTTTTTAATATAAAAAGATGATGTTATCACTAGAACAATTGATCGATGAGAAGAGAGGTTGATGTTTAAAGTTAAACAGAAAATTTAAATTTTAAATTATAGTAAAAACATAATGAAGAGAAAACAGGAGTCCGCTTTGCTCCTCCTTTGCTCCTCTATGCCTAGGAGCAAATCTGGATCAGTTCAGATTTAATCCTTTTATTTATTTTATTTTATATTTATTAAAATAAAATATTTATACAAAATATATTGTAATAAATTTGATCATCAATTTGAATAGTCTAAATTTATATTATAAAAATAAATATTTATAAAATAATTTAATAAATTTTTCATTTCTAGTTTGAACACTCTTCATTTAATTTGAATAGTTAACGTAATATTATAATTTTTAAAAATTATAAATTGACCTATTTTGTTTATAGAAATTTGGACTGTCCAAATTAGTGATCTAATTTATTACAAAATATTTTTTATAATTTTTATAAATATTTTATTTTAATAAATATAAAATAAAAATAAAAATAAAAAATAAATTTAAATTGTCCAAATTACTCCTGAATGTAGACGAGCAAAGGATTAAGTTGCGAATGAGCATAGCCGACTCCGAGAAAACGGCGGTAAAGAGGGACTCCAACACAAGGAAGGCACGTGCAAGGTCGACCAAAACGACAACCACATGATACACTTGGTTCATCGCCACCCCCTTGTCGTCGCTTCCACTATCTGCGGAACCTGATGGTATGGGAATTTGCCTAAGATGCTGGGTTTTTCGTTTTCATCAGCACCTCTACAATGCAACATGATTGTTCTATTATAGACGCATGAAATTTATTTTTTTAAATTTTATTTTCATGTGGATAAATTGTTCATTGATATTAATAGTAACATAAAATTTATCCTTGATGTAAAATAATGATACATTAAATAAATAATTTTATTTTCAAACAACCTAATACGCGTAAAATTAAGTTTATCTTCAAATTATAAATAATAAAATTTTATAATGAATATCTAATATTTAAAATTAAATAAAAAATATGCTGTGAATAACGTTATTATTAAAATTTATAAAATATAAGAAATAATACATTGCAAAATATCTAACAAATCACACTATTCTCAAATTATTAAAAATATATTCTTTAAATTTGGTGAGTACATAGAAAGTTAATTTTAAAAAATGATTAGGAGAAGTGTTTTAGACGTGGCCAGTGACGATGTGCAAGCTGGCAACAGGGGATGAAATGAAGTCTGATTAGAAGCGATAATTTCTTTTCTTTTCATTTTTTTTTGTTTTAAAAAATTTAGGTGAGTTGAGTTTTAAATGTTCATCACTGTTAAGGTCTGTTTTTAAGCCCAAAGAGTACTTAAAAAAATATTTACATATTCCTCACTAATAAAATCTTCATAGCAACAGCAAGATTTGATCGCTCAATCTTATAAATTATAAGTCAAATTTTTATTAACTAGATCAAATTTTATATGTGTGAAGCAATAATTGAAAACAGACAAGGAAGGCAACTTCATTTGAAGTGGCAAATTTAATGTGTAGGCCCAAAGAAAATGAAATTGACAGACTCAGTGAAGTTTCTATACGATGTAGAAGCACTATAATATTATGCAAATTAATTACGTTGCATGAACCATAAGCATAAATTAAAGCTTTATAGTTCAGTTATATAGCGATTATTTTAAAAAATCGCTAAATAATTCCAGGACAACCAGATGAAAATTGATTAAAATTAGGAAAAATTATTTTATGATTTTTTTAAATAACCATTAAACATTTTGCAACTATTTATTGGTTATTTTTAAAAAATCATTATATAGTTTACTAAATGGTTCATTAAAACTAAAACTGAAAAAATCTATTTAACAGCTTTTGTAAATAACCATTATGTAGACCTCAATTATATAGCGGTTTTCTTTTGGCCAAATCAACTATATAACGGTTAAAAACCCTTAGATACTTGCCCTGAAGTATATAATGCCTGAATATACAACGGTTAAAAAAATAATAGCTATATATAGAAACTTTCTTTTATTTTTAAGTAGTGAAGGCACCAACCTAGTCCCTCTCTATATCGAATGTTGCTGACTGATTCGAATTTAAATAGAATAGACTCTAGGTTGAAATTAAAGAGAGTATCTCAATGTGATGATTTTTTCCCTCCTATTTACAAGACTCAGACACAGTGTTGTTTGGAGGATATTAAGTTATTATTACCACTCAATTTAATAACTAGAATTGATATTTTTCTTATAAAATAGTAACTAGATACATGAATATAAAGGAAAAAGCACATTATGTGGCTTAGCATGAATAAAGGAATATGCACATCCCACTTTTTTCTATATGGATTAAGGAATATTCCACAGATATAATATTGTGTGTGTATAGAATCATTTTAATTATATAAAAGTTTTAAAATAAAATGTGGGTATCGTCTATATGTCCAATTAAATTTATATAAAAAATGTATTATTAATATTCTATCTGTTAAAAAATATAAAGCATTTTTCAATCGAATCTTACCTTCTAACAAAGTAGTTATTTATTTTCAAACTAATACTATTTTTTTATATTTATCCCTATTTAATAGCGTGTTTTACTCTAAAATAAATATAAAGTAATTTATTCAATAGAGGTATTTAAAAAAATAATTACATCTTGAAAAATTAAAAAATATCCTTTAACATCTAAATTTTTAAAAATGTCTTATATTTTTTTATAAAGGGAGTATAAATATATTTATGACTTTTATTTTGGTGGAACAAGGAAGAATATAATTATTAGTTTGCCTTCAGTTTGTCTAAATCACAATGTTATCTCATCATATCTCATGATGATTTAAAAGCACATTCCTTGTACCAACGTGCTATATTTTAATAATAATAATTTTTTTAAGTTAAGGCTTTAACATGATTAAATTAAAAAGGTTAAATTTCATTTTTCATCATTTAACTTTACGTAATATTTTATTAGAGTCTTTTAATTTTATAAAGTCTATTTTAATTTTTTAACCCTAATATCATTAGTTTCATTATAACAATTTTTTTATATTAAATTTTTAAATATTGACAAAATATTTTTAAATATAGACCTATTAAATTCAATTTTTTAAAATAAAAATTTAAAACATTGTTAGAGTTAAATGATTGAAAATGTACTTTATAAAAAATAATTAAATTGACATTTTATATAAAGTTAAAGCACAAAAAATATAATTAATCCAACTAAAAAATATGTATAAATTTATTACTGGTTTTTAAATTTTTATGAAGAAAATAATTATGATAAGTTAAATTCCCAGCGGCTCATTCGTCACTAGAAACCGGGGCCCACTTTTTAAAATTCTATGAAATGAATTGATTGGTCAGGCCTGTTTGAGGGAACACAACCCACCAGTTAATTAATTGATTGCAAAGTTTGCGAGTTGGTTAATTTATATCACATCATGCTCTAGCAAGACACGTGCCAGCTTCAAGATATACCACACTCACATATATAAACCCAATATACTAAACTAAAGCCTTATTTTTCTCTCTTCCTCTTAACATGGCAAACACAATAAGTGCCAAAGCTAGCGGTGAATATATAAAACAACAGCAGAACAAATCCAATCAGACTATATATATGCATTGCGCCCCACGCATTGTGTGTGTGCATGTGCACACACATAACTAGATATGTAAGTTTTGATCTATTGACGCGTGTCACTTTAATATGTCAACCCTATTTAAGTCTAAATATCTAGACTCATATATTTGGGCTCATTTATGAAAGTAGCCCGGAAATGAGGGGAAGGGCGAGCGTAGCGGACTCTTCACTCAAAATTTTAAAACTCAAATCTATAAATTTTTATATTTTATTACATACTCGCTCCGATCTAATATATAGACATCTCTTCTCAATTAATTTTAATTTAAAATATAAACAATCTAATAAATATAAAACATTTCTCCCCATTTTCTCTTTATATTCATTAATACAGTGCATCAATAATTGAGATTAGGGATAAAAGTAAAAAATAATATATATTTTTATTGGAATGAATACTTTATTGGTATGTGATTTTTTTAAAAAAAATTGCTTAAATTTTAGACAGGATGAAGTATTAATTATTAAGTTTAATTTTATCTAGTATGAGACTTCTTAAATTAGATCAAGTCTACTCACACTTATACGGGTTAACAACAAAGAGTGCGTGTGCGCGCCAAGAGATAGAGATGGAGAGAGCTTACGAGAAACTCAAGAACGGCGCTGGCGAGGAAGATATGATAAGAGGTGAAGAAAGCATCGGACAAGAAACCTCCGAGAAGAGCAAGAAGGAAGGCTGTTCCCATGAAGTTGGTGACGTTGTTTGCTGATTTTGATGGAGAGAAGTGCATGTAGTGCCTCATGTACAACACCAAGTTGCTCGCATTCGCTAGATATGCCAGATTCTCCAATGCCTCCACACCTGCCCCATCATCAATATCACTTATTACATCATCTTATATATGCTCACGCGTGTATGTGTGTGTGTGTGTGTACGTACACTGAATAATCTCGGTCTTATGCATTACATGAAACCCGAGTCTCAAAGCTACACTGTTAATAATGACTTCATGAATCGTACGTGCAGCTTCAGTACTGAGACTCAGAATCAGTAAACAATAACAGAAGCTAGAGCACAAACATGATCTTCGAACAACAACAAAAACAACACAAGAAACATACTATTGATGACTAAGAAGCGATACTGCTGATACAGAAGCACAAGCGCACGAAGAGAGTTAATTCATTTATTTCTTATAAATAGGTCGAAGGAGTACTTCAAGACTTAATTATTAGAAGTACAGTATCAATCAGTAAGTTAATAATGGAGGCAGAACAGTTTACACAGTGATAAATAATAGATCCATGAACAATGCACTTTCTAGTCCTGGGTTCCGCATGTTGGGATCTAATTTGTGTGTGTGTGTATGGAACATAAGTGTGGAACACAAAAACATGACGATCTTTTTCTAGAAGTTTTCGGGGATCACAGACAGGATGCGATATTGAGTACTTCACATGAGAATTCCAATTAGTAATGAAGTTTTCAAGGCGCGATAAGCTTAAAGTCGAAGCATGAAACTGTTATGATATATTATATATATATATATATATAGAGAGAGAGAGAGAGAGAGAGACCGAGGACGAAGGAGGCAGCGAGCATGCCGCCATGGCGGCCTCTGAGAGCAGGTTTGTTTCTCCAATCCACATAACCTTCCCATCTGTTTGATTGCTGCTCTCCTACTTCCTGCAGATGGATCAAACCAATAATGCTATCAGATTCAGTAAAGTTTTCATCTTTAAGTGTGTACTGAGAGATTGTCCGGGAAAAAAAAAGTGTGTACTGAGAGAGAGAGAGAGAGAGAGAAGAACAGAGAAACAGAAATAGTAGAGGAATTAAGTAGCAGATCAGACCATGACTAGATAGTTGTTTGCTACTTTGGTCTGTCTTCTTCCTAATATGTGAGTGTTTGGAAGGGCATATATATAGATATATATGGTGTGTGTCTGTGAGAGAGAGAGAGAGAGAGAGAGAGAGAGAGAGAGAGAGAGAGTTTGGCTATTAGGGACGAAAATGGAGATGACAGTGGGGAAGATTTAAAGACAGGAGAGAGGGAGAGTAGGGCCCGATTCCAAGTTGGGCAGAAAGGTCTAGATTCTCACATCTTAAAAGAAAATGACTTTTAAATCTTTTCCCACGTATCACAACTTGTTTATAAAGCCACCAATGCATTATGAAATGTGATTGTTAATTCCAAATTTTGCCTCTTCATCAACGTTTTCCAGGGTAAAATATTTCATTTTTTTCCATAAAAAAATATTATCATTATTATGTTCCAACCAGGAATGTCAAATGTGGAAGTAAAAATAAAAAAATGAAAAAAATAATTTTATATTATTATTATTATTATTATTTCTTAAAAAATTTAGATGAATTTTAAAGTTGGAAACTTTCATGATTAAAAGAAGTTCTTAATAGGTATTTTGAAGTTATTTACAAATAAGATTCTCATATAATAGATAACAAGTTTCAAATACTAAAATGTATACATGAGCAATATTTTTTGTTATTTTTAATCACTACTAAAATATATAAATACTTATCTAGATGATGATTAATGAAAAAGAATAATAATGTTGAGAGAATCAAATCCGAAACAAAATCTAAAAGAAGGCAGCATTGCACTATAAATATTTGACCCGTAGACCTAAATATTATAATCCAAATGGTTTGATGCCTCGCCTTTTTCTAACAATCAATGCGAAACATAAACATAGAGCATTCGAATTCAAATAAGGTATTTTTAATCTAAAAGCAAGTTGATCCAGTCGCAGCCCCATCACCTCCTTCACTTGAAAGAGATTTTTAATTTGAACCCAACATTGACATGTTTGTATACATATATAGTTACGTTTAGTATTAATACTCGAGGCAATCTACTTATCAATTTATATATATAGCATATATTATCATTTTAAAATTGAGTTACACCCAACGATTTGACCGATCTTTAGTTGGACTCGCTAGCAGCTTGATTTTTATTGGAAAGTCATTTTCATGGGGGATTGATTGAACGTTAGAACTCGAAATTGGACCGGAATCGAGAACAACTATTAGGAAATAAAAATACCAGAAAGGTTTTAAAAAAAATTAATTAATTTAAATTAAATTTTAAATATTAAATTTTAAGAATTTACAACTTAATTTTTCAATTTTATAATTTCATTGTAATAAATTTATATCTTGTATTCTAAATTTTAATAAGAAAAATGAATTTTTTTTTATTCTTCAACTATGTTAAAGTTTGAAAAACAAGTTGTAAATTTATCACAATACAGTTATAAAATTAAAAAATTAAGTTGTAAATTTATGGAATTTAATACTTGAAATTTAACTTAAATTAATTGATTTTTTTGAGACTTGTTTGTCATTCTTCCAAAATCAAATGGTTTAGGGCCAAACCAAAAAAGCCTGAAAAACTAAACGCAAAAAAGAAATCCTATAAAAATATTTTTTATTTGTTATTTTTTATTATTTAATTATTATGTTATTAGTCGGAGACCGTTACTTCAATCATTAAAACCAATACCTATTAACATTTTTTATTTGATATATAGTCCAGCTTTTAAAATATTAAAAAAGGAAAAAATTATTGTGAAATTCCACACAAGAATTTTAATTCCCTTAAAGTTTCATAAAATGTATAAATTGTTCAAATTTTATGTAATGACAACTTGACAAAAGAAATTAAATAATAACTTGAAAAGAAAAATGATAACTTCACATTAAAATCATACCTGAATTGTAATTTTTCTATGCCAAATTGTAATTATACAGAATTTTAGATTTATGAGTATTTTGTGTATTTTATAGGATCTTTTAATAATTAAAATTTTTATATGGGACCTTAGAGTTTTTTTTTAAAAAAAGGAAAAATTACGGAGAACACGCACATACTCTCACGCCTCAAGTAGACCTTGTACAATCATGCATGTATCACGTTGAACGTAACGCGTGGCAGCTAGCACTATGAATACCAGTAAACTGCGGTTACACCTCCACTTGTAAAAGATGATATCAACGTTTCATTAAAGTCATCAGAACGCCGTGCCTCATTTAACAATTATGATGCTGTTGCTTGAAGTAGCTTCATCAGGGACAACCATGATAATTGAATTAAGGGCTTTTAAAAAATACTTTGGCTACCATCTCATTGCCACTGTAAAATTAACGGGGGTATTCTTGAAAGAGTAAAAATATGTTGGAATAATAAGTTCAATAAAGTTAATATTTATTTTGACTCTCTTAAAACTCTCGCGCTCATACAATATATAAATTCTTGGATAACCATTCCCTTATTAAAATTATCAACAAAAGGAGGGAATTTGTCAGGAGAGATTGGATAATTGCATTTAAGCATATCTTTAGAGAAGCGAATAAATAATTGGCTTGCATATCAATCTTCATATGATAATTTAGACATCAAGATTTTTTATTTTTCACCCAATGGATGTAGGAAATTTTTGTACTACAACATGGCTTGATTTATCATTATTTTGCACAAATTTTTCCCTGATCTTATATTTAAAAAAATTTCGTATAATGCTTTGAAATGCTTTGATGTGAATTTTTTTTTTGGTGGGAGAATCGCAATTAAAGTTCCCAGAAATGAAAAAAATTGCATCCAAAGCTCAATACATTTTGAATTCTTTCCGCAGCTCAAATTCCCAAATACAAATGCTTCTCCGTGAAATAGATCATTTCCTTCAAATGCACTAGTTCTCCAAGTGTCAGTGCAACACAATGTCTGTAAAAACTAAAAAGCATGACAAAATCCACACGTGAACAACACAAATGTCTATTTATTAAATATAATTCATGTAGTTAAGTTGAACAATAAGGTACAAGTAGTATTTTGAAACCCGAATTAGATTGGATGGTCTGACCGCCACTTGCTTATCAAAATGGCTTGGTCTAACTAGTTGAACTAATTTAGCATTTGAACTAGGTTGACTTGGCCAATTTTGAGAGAATCAAATTTAACTGGGGAACCAAAGTGGGTCAACCTAGGTCAATCCGATTCAAAGTAAAAAAAAAAAGAAAATAAATTTAGGCTAAGTCACTTAGATTTACATTTTCTCTTTTTTAATCTCTAGTTTTCTTTTGTCTTATCTTCTCTCATTTCTAATCTCTCCTCCATAGCCTAGGGTCAATCTTTGACCTCTCCTCCAACGTCTGCCTCTAACTCTAGTGATTCAGCCTTTGACATTGAGATCGAAAGTTTATGAGTCATGACACAATAACCTGCCTTTAGCTCTAGTATTTTGCTTCGAAATTGTGAGCTTGGCAGTCCATGCACCTAGCTTTTAGCATCAAAATCTCAAGCATCAACGACAAATTAATATTTTATTTATATATTTGTGTATGTAAATATTATTTTTATGTTATCGGTTTGACTGTCAATCTAATCAGTTGGATCATGTGCTCTTTCTAATTTGACATCCGAACCAGGGTTCAAAACATTATGTACAAGTTTTTCAAATGTATGTATAACACAATATATGACTGTTAAAAATATGGTCCATATGTGATAATCACAATATTCATTTATTATATATAATCCGTGTGGTTGAGAACGAATGCGTCTTTTCACAAATAAATATATTTGTATTTGGCATCTACGGGTTTGCAAAACCAATTTAAAATGTACTAGATCTTAGGCATGATTTTTTCTGTTCTAAAGATTTTAGGTGGGATTTATTTTTCCTTTATAACCTACGCTTTACACAAAATTTCTAGAATTGTACGATTTTATACACTATATTTGTCTCACATATAATATATTTTTTATATGGCTTTCTTATCCACAGATTGAGTTTCCCAGTACACCAGTGTTTTTTTTTTTTCTGGGCAATGCGTCTTTACAATAATGCAAGTGAGCATTATAAAAATCATTATCCTACACTAGTATTTTCATCAAATTTTAAAGTAAAATTCAATATCAGAATTTTGAACGCAATTCCTGAAATATTTTTTCTTTTTTCTTTTTTTTATTGGCTTTTGGAACTTTCTCTCGAATTCTCTCTCTCTCTCTCTCACACACACACACACACACACACACACACACACGAAAACGAATTTTAAGAATAATTTTGTTGTGACTTTTCAATCAACTAAATTCTGACCCGCAACATTAATGAAGTTAAAACGGTAGGTTAGATATGAGTTACAGGTTTTATAAAGTGAAGGATCTAGATATCATCATAGAGAACGTGCGATTTTTTTTTCTATTTTTATTATAACAATAATATGAAGGATTAAAATCAAAGTGAGTGAATTTTTTTTTTAAATGTTAGGAACCTTTCAGAGCATACCTAATCATATCATATCTCAATATTCCTACCTTGAAATGGAAGTGGTACGAACGCGGAACCATTGATCAAATAAAGTAAATATCATATGGTTTCTACATAAAAAAGAAAGGGAACTGACATTGAAAGACCAAAAAATTGAATTAAATTTAAATAAAGATTAAAAGATTTGAAAATCTAAAATAAGGACCAAAGGTCTTGAGTGTATTGATCTAAAAGTTTGCTACTTTAATTTTTTGCTTTTCATGATTTGCAACTCTGAAAACAAGAATTTGGAAGTGAGATTTGTTAATTTGTAAAGAAAAAACATCAAAATGTGCCCGTTTAGATTTCAGTTGGGTATAATAGATTATGAAAATAATTAATTAAGTAATAGATTTTAATCATAATTGATTATGTTATAACGCAATCTGTTTGAATATTATTTTTTTAAAATTAATTTTAACAGAATTGAAGATATTTAGATAATTTAATCAGAATCAATTTTAGTTATATAAAATACTATATAATTTAATTCTTAAATACCAAACATTAATTTTTTAAGGATATAAAATTTGAATTTTATTAAGAAAAAAAAGAGAAAAGAAGAGAGTTTGATTTTATTTTTATTAAATTATGTGCTTTATTTGTAATTTTTGTGGGCCTTTCTTTGTAATTTTTTCCAACATTTTTTGACAAACTT